TCATCATCATCATCATCATCATCATCATCATCATCATCATCATCATCATCATCATCATCATCATCATCATCATCATCATCATCATCATCATCATCATCATCATCATCATCATCATCATCATCATCATCATCATCATCATCCGCCTCCTCCGCCTCCTCCGCCTCCTCCGCCTCCTCCGCCTCCTCCGCCTCCTCCGCCGCCCCCGCCCCCGCCTCCGCCTCCGCCTCCGCCTCAGCCTCCTCCTCTGCCTGCGCCTCCGCCTCCGCCTCCGCTTCCGCCTCCTCCTCCTCCTCCGCCTCCTCCTCCTCTTCCTCCTCCTTCTCCTCCTCCTCATCCTCCGCCTCCTCCTCCTCCTCCTCCTCTTCATCCGCTTCCTCATCCTCCGTGGCCATTTTGGCTCGTGTCTGTCCGTAGGCCCCCCGCTCCTGGACATTGTCCCCCGGCGTACCCCGAGACCACAGCTTCACGGGGCAACTTGGCGGGCGTGGGGGACTTGGGGAGCGGGGCTTTGGGCTCGCGGAGCGATGGCGCGGGAGGACGGGGGTGTTGCCCGTCCGATGCGCTCGCCTGGCGAGCGCAAGGCAGCCCGCGATTGGGCTCGCCTCTCCGCGGACAGGGTCGTGGTCAAGCTCTCTGGCGAGCTGGGCCGCACCGAGGCCGAGCTGGAAGCAGCTGTGGGGGCGCTGGACGGGCTGCTGGGCGGCGCAGAGGTGGCTGTGCGCATTCGCGCCGTACTCCCGGTGCTGACGGCGATGCTCGAGGGGCGCTCTCCCAGGTGGCTAGCGAGGCTGCGCAGGAATGTGGCGCTTCACTCTGATGCGCCAGGTGTCAGGGGGGGCCTCCTGGATCCATGCGCCGCCATCCATGTGATCCAGTGCATCGACGATTTCATCATCCCGCCTTTCGTGGAGCGTACGTGTGACTGCTGCTTGACCCTCATTGCTGAGGCCGACGGGTCGGATTCCGAGGCGCTTTGGTGCGAGGACTGCGACACGCTCCTTTGCCCCTGGTGCTGGCCGCCAATGCTCGAGCAGCGTTTCATCGTCGCGACGGCCATCAGTAAGTGATCTACTCGAGATCTGCCTGGTCGGGGTCTTCGTGGTGTCGCAGGTCCACGTCCAGGAGGTGCGCATGTTGGAGGGCATGCGTAATAGAGCGCGCAGCGGTAGAAAAATCCTCCTCCTCCTCCTCCTCCTCCTCCTCCTCCTCCTCCTCCTCCTCCTCCTCCTCCTCCGCCTCCGCCTCCTCCGCCTCCTCTGCCTCCGCCTCCGGTTCCGCCTCCGCCTCCGCCTCCGCCTCCGCCTCCGCCTCCACCTCCACCTCCGCCTCCGCCTCCGCCTCGGCCTCCGCCTCCGCCTCCGCCTCCGCCTCCGCCTCCGCCTCCGCCTCCGCCTCCGCCTCCCCTTCCTCCGCCTCCGCCTACCTCCTCCGCCTCCTCCTCCTCCTCCTCCTCCTCCCTCCTCCTCTCTCCTCCCGCCTCCTCCTCCTCCTCCTCCTCCTCCTCCTCCTCCTCCACCTCCTCCTCCTCCTCCTCCTCCTCCTCCTCCACTCCTTCTCCTTTGGATGAATCCTCCCTGTCGGACCCCCGAGGCGAGTTTTAGGGCGGGCCGGGCATGTCGCCTGAGACCTCCTCACCATCTATGACTCTGAAATTGAAAAATGACAACAGTTTCACAGATGGAGAGCGGGTGGTTTTCAACATGTGGCTCTCGCCTTAGCGCCGCGCACATTCGTTTTCAAAAGTTGCACAAGTTTCACGGATTTGGGGCGGGTCGTTTTCAAAATGTGGCTCTCGCCCCAGCGCCGCGCACGTTCTTTGTGAAAAAACTGCGTTACTCTCGCCTTAGCGCCTCGCACCTTCTTCTTTTGAATTTGCAAGCGCTTCACGGATTGAGGGCGGGTCGTTGTCAACGTGTGGTTCTCGCCTCAGCACCGCGCACATTCTTTGTAAACATTTGCAAGAATTTCCGGGATTGAAGGCGGGTCGTTTTCAAAATGTGGCTCTCGCCTGAGCGCCGCACACACACTCGTTGTAAAAAATTGCAAGAGCTTAACGGATTAACGGCGGGTCGTTTTCAAAATGTGGCGCTTGCCTTAGCGCTGCGCGCATTCGTTTGAAAATTCGCAAGAGCTTCACGGATTCCCATGATCAACGTACCAAACACGGTGTGCTGTGATAGGATTCAAGATCACACGGGTGCAACAGTTCTGTTGATTCGCGGTGTAGAAATCAAAAACGGCGTCATGGCACGACTCCGAATCGCCAAAACGCAGCAGTCAAGTTGAAACGTGGCGTTGAAATCCCGAGAACAATGTTTTGGCATGCTTCAGGATCTTCAAACGGTTGCCTTCCAACGAGGCAGCTCCCTCAATGAAAATGAACCGTTATAGGGGCCTATGAAGAGGGAGCTTGGAGGGAGGGTTAATTCAAACATCGTTGATGACTCTTGGGTTTACACTTGTCCTCCTCCTCCTCCTCCACCTCCTCCTCCGCCTCCTCCTCCTCTTCCTCCTCCTCAGCCTCCTCCTCCTCCTCCTCATCCTCCTCCTCCTCCTCATCGAGCAACAATAGCTTATCGGGCCCAGCGGGCCTCATCCTGCCAACGAGGACGGCGGCCTTCATCAAGGCTGCGCTGCCGGTGTGGCGCCAGTCGGCAACCATAGCCTCCCAGGGATCGGAAACTGGGGGGAATCGCGCCCATGAGCCACCTGGAGTTTTCCCCTGGCCCATGCCCCGGTGTGATCAGTCCTGATGCTACGCATACTTCTATCGCTGTATCGCTGCACATGGATACTGCCACCACTGCCGCCGCGTGCCCAGTCGTCTACAATCGCGTAGCGTGCATGCGTCCTGTATTCCCTGTCCCCCCTCCCCCGCGTATTGACACTCACTGTGCATACTTGGCATAGCCTACGGCGCACATGTCTTGTGCCATACGGTGCTGACACTTGTGGCGGAGCAAGGGTGCACAAAACGTCGATAATACGGGATGGCCAGAGCACAAGGCTCCACGGCAGCAGCCAGCAAGCTGCATACGGCTACGGGCAACGATCCCGGGTATTCGGACGGCTGAGGGGCATCAACACTAGAAAGTGCTCCTAACGGCGGCATGGGACGCGATCAATAACTCAGCAACGCAAAGCTCAAGGAGTATTCGGGAAGCTCGCTGGTAACAGAGCGCGCATACCAACAACATGTGAAAGAACAGTGTGCAAGGGGGGACGCGCCAACTGAAGACATCACAAAAATGTTCGAGCTGGAACATGTTACCTATTGCGAGCTGTAAGTCGTTATTGATAGAGCCTCGACGATTGGATGGCACATGGTAGATTAGTTGTAAGCAAAAGCTGAAAACGAATGTGCGAACTTCAGCCAGTGCAGTCACGCGTCAAACTACTTCGGGGCTGTGGCATGGCCCAAGACAAGGTTGGCTCAGTTGCTGCTCGACTGCGGCGAACAGTACGCCCCACAGTGTCTGGAGGGTGCTCAGCATGACATGATCTTCCACGGCTACATGAAACGAAAAGGTATCAGAGGCAGGTGGTCTCACACGAATAGCACCTCGGGATCGTCGCAGGCCAGGGACCCAGCGAGTCCCAGCGACTACAGCCGTGATCCGGGTATGTATTGCCATAGCGCCCATGGCCCGCCACACAATTCACTCTGCGGGGTGCGTTTCGTGGAAGAGGACGACACGGAGGAGCCGATCACTGAAGCCGACGAAGACGCAGATTGAAAAATTGCCGACGACGAAGTTACAGAATGCGCATCGGGCGCCTACAATCAGTGTCTTGGGTGCGTTGGCAGCGTATGCGGGACCACCGTCGGCGCCGCGCGCGGTCTTGTGGCACCTACCGCCGCAAGACCATAGCCACCCCCAGATCCGCCACCGTACCGTAGGCACTGAATGGAATTCCAGCATGTCTCTTCGAGTCCTTATATGTTGACTATCTCAAAAAAAATGAAGGAGCCCGAGCCCCCCGATTTCCAGGCGCTCTTCGGGTGCTCTTGAGGCTTCTCGCACAACTTGTCCATAGACGTAGGGAGCGTGGCTCACCAACCAAACCTGCAACATGCCCTAAGGTGAACCCATGTGCCCATGCGGAAGCCCTCCTGGAGGGCCCCTTGGAAGGTCTTGCAGGCCCTGTGGGCCAGCTGGGAGATGGGCTCGGCCTCAGCAATGGACCCCATCCTTACGTCCTCGCTGACTCGAACAGGATTCACCCTGGACATCACCCGGCTGCCACAGAAGCACAATCCTATAGCTTGATACAATTTCGCAGCATCAGCCGATCTATGATGACGGTCCATTGCTGTAAAAGCCGAACGTCACGCTGACGCTTTCTAGCCCATCAGCGTCAGTCTCCGCTTACTACTGCCGTCCTCTGCTAGCCACGCGCACTCGAAAGTGAATGTGGCGAGCTCCTTGTCGTTGACCTGGCCATTACGCCCCGTACCGTTCTGGTAAGCCATACAACCCAGCAGCCAGGTGCTCACGCAATGCTCGGAAGCAACTCGAGGCTGAGACCTCAGCGCCAATCTTGAGGTCCCCGGAGGCACGCCCGCACTGCAAAGCCGACGCGCGTCCGAATCGCCTAGCATATCCAGCTGATCTCAGCGGAAGAACTCCAGTCCCGTCCCCTCTCGCCTCGTCGCGTTCTCTTTCTTCACGGGCGGCAAACACGTCCATATCCACGGCCTCGCGGACTGGGCCCCTGAGCCGAGACCGCACAGATACGGGGCAGTGCTTCGTGGATGCCCCGCATTTAACACGCGCATCCATGGCATCGCGCCCCACAATCCAGCATGCGAGGGCATGGGCATGGATGCGCTCGTCGATCGTGATCTCCTGTCCGACTGGCCACAGCGCCCCTTTGCTGTCCGCTGTGCCTCGCTGCTCTTGCCCGCCAAAATTGGTTAAAAGCATCAGGAAACCAATGATTCTGGCCTCTCGGGAGGCCTCTCGGTTGGGGCGTCTTGGAAGCCTCTTCGGCCGTCTGGGGGCCACCTCGGTCGTCTTGGAGCGATCGTTCGGCGACTCGGGGCCGTCTGAGGGCCTCCCGTCCCGAGGCTCTTTCGGTCCGTTTTGGGGCCCTCTTGGGCCCGAAAAGTCACGCGAAGAGATGCGGGGAACCCAGTGGGGCACGCTCCTCCCCCTCAACCTCCCACCGTAGAGGCTCGGCCTCCAGAACCGAGGTGCCACAGCGCGGAGCACCGAGGCGGCGCAGGGCAACCGAGAGGCACGGACTCGCCCCGCCGAGTCTCTCTCTCTTCGCCAGGGGCGAGGCTCGCTGGGCCGTGGCTCGCCAGGGCAGTGGTTCGCCGGGGCTCGCCTCGCCGCGGAAACAAATAAATGCACACAAATAAAACAGATTCCCCATATTTTCCCATAGCTTCTGGGTTTTCATCTTCCCCCCCACTGCCCATCTTTTCCCATATATTTTCTGGGGGATCGACGATTCATTGTGTCTGTGTTTTTTTCCCTCCTGAGAGGCTCGGTTCGCTGGGGCTTCGTTCGCCCGTCTCGTTTTCGCCGAGGCTCGTTTCGCAGGAGTCTCGCTCCGCCAGGGGCCCGTTTCGCCGGGGGCTCGCTTCGCCGGGGCCCGTTTCGCCGGGGGCTCGCTTCGCTGGGCACGCGGAGGATCCCGCAGTGGACGAGGGGAAGCAGGCGGGAGGACCCTCTAACGGGCGGGTCGGGTCTGGCGGGCGGACCCCAACGGGTGGGTCGGGTCGGGCGGGCGGGACATTGAAAGAATTGCGATACCACGCGCGAACCGTAACGGGCGGGTCGGGTCGGCGGGCGGACCCTAACGAGCGGGTCGGGCCGAATCGAGGCCCGGCGACAGGGCAATGAAATCTATGCATATATACATATATATATACACTAGAACCATCGCGCGCGCTTCGCGCGCGCTCAAGTTCTAGCTAAGATAATCGTCATCGTCATCATCGCCATCCTCATCACCATCATATCCGGCGTCATCGTCAGCGGCATCGTCATCATCACCATGACCATCACCATCATCACAATCGTCACCATCACCACCATCAGCAGCAACATCGTCATCACCATCGTCATCATCGCCATCGTCGTCATCACCGTCAATATCGTCACCTGAATTATCAACATAATCATCCTCATCATCGCCATCGTCATCATTATCGTCGTCGTCGTGATCGTCGTCATCGTTATCGTCATCATCATCGTCATCATCTTCATCATCCGCCCACTCCTGCATCACAAGCACCATAAACAGCATCGCCACCATTATTATCAGCATCGGCGTTATCATCCTGACCATCAGCAGCATCATCATAATGATCGTCAGCATCACCATCCTCAACGGCATCACCGTCATCGTCATCATGATCGTCAGCATCACCACCATCATCATCACCACCATCACTCACATCACGATCACCATCATCAACATCATCATCATCATCAGCATCATCATTCCCACTGTCAACATCATCATCATAATCTTCCTCCTCCTCATCCTCATCATCATCATCATCATCATCATCATCGTCGTCATCATCATCATCATCATCATCATCATCATCATCGTCGTCGTCAACTTCATAATAGTCGTCATCATCGTCATCATTTTCGTCACCGTCGTCTCCGAAGCTCCCCCGCCGAACTCGAGGATATCTCCGCAGCGTCTTGCATGCCGCGTGAGCAGTATTGGGGATTTAGGTTGTGGGCCTGAGGCCGCCCTGCATAATCATCATTGTCATTATCACCAGCGTCTGGAAGCCTTGCGGGGCCCTTTCGGCGCCTTTTGGAGGCCTCTTGGAGCTTCCTGGGGGCCTCTCGAGGCCTCTTGCGGACTCCTGGGGGCCTCTTGGGAGCTTCTGGTGGGCGAGGGCTCGAAATGTCAGTTCGTGTTCCCCATCTGGGGCTCCTCTTGGAGTGTTCTGGGAGCTCTTTTGGGCCGTCTTGGAAGCTTCCTGGGCCGTCTTGGGGCCCTCTTGGGCTGTCTCGGTGGTCTCTTGGGGGCCTCTGGGCTCGTCTTGAGGCGATCTTTCGGGCCTCTTGGGCCGCCTTGGAGCGTCTGGAAGCCGAACTGGGGAGAACGCCCAAACCCTTCAAAACCCACTAAAAATCAGTGACAATTTCCTAGTGGGCCCCTCCCAGGAGTGCTGTCGGAGACCTGCTGGGACGCTTTGGCGGCTTTTTTTAACCATCTTGGAGTGCTCCCGGGCCGCTTCGGACCTCTCTTGGGCTCTCCTGAGGGCGTCCTGGAGCCATTTTAGAGGGTCCTGGGAGCGTCCTGGCGTCTCCGGCGGGGGGGTGACCACAGCCACTGGGCAAAGTGAGGCCCCCCCCTGGTCCAGGGCCCCCTCCCCATTATACATATATATATATATATATATATATATATATAGAGATATATCTAGATATATATATATCCGGAAGCTTCGCCCCCTGCCGCCGGCCCCCTCTCTCGGAGAATGGGCCATGGAAGAGCTAAGTCAGGAGGCCTTGGCGCTGTCGTGAAGCAGTATCGAAACTTCATGCGAAGCCGAGTCGCAATCAGCAAAACCAACTGATCACAAGAGGGGTTACCACACCTGGCGATTGGTAAGACGTGTATGGTTTACGGGCTTGGTTACCACACCTTGCGATTAAAGGGCCGAGGGAGTTCTCGCAGTTTGGGTTACCACGCCTTGCGATGGATGTGCTTGAGGGGTCGCACCGAATTCCAGAAATGTGGCAAATCCCCTGTGTTTTTGGACCCTGAACCCGCGGATCTGCGTGAAGGGGTGGCACCGAATTTCAGAAATGTGGCAAATCCCTTCAGTTTTTGGATCCCTGTCCCCGCGTTCTTACGTGAGGGTGGAACCGATTCAGAAATGTGGCAAATGCACCTGTGGTTTTTGACCCTGACCCATGTTCACCCCGCGGATCTGCGGGAGGTGGCACCGAATTGCCAGAAAATGTGGCAAATCCCGTTGTGTTTTTGACCCTGTCCCCGCGGATCTGCGCGAGTGTGGGCACCGAGTGCAGAAATGTTAGTTAAAGCAAATCCCTAGTGTTTTTTGGATACCCTGACCCCGCGGATCTGCGTGAGGGGTGGCATCCAATTTCAGAAATGTTGCAATCCCCGGGATCCCTGTGGTTTTGGGACCCCCTCTGGTTTTGGGACCCCGCACCCCGACCCGCGGATCTGCGTGAGGGTTGGTCAACGAATTCAGGCAGGAGCAACCCCCCCTTGTGTCTGCTCGTCCTCGGACCCCGCGGTCTGCGTGAGGTGGCACCGAATTTCAGAAATGTGGCAAATCCCCTGTGTTTTTGGACCCTGACCCCGCGGATCTGCGTGAGGGGTGGCACCGGATTTCAGAAATGTGGCAAATCCCTTGTGTTTTTGGACCCTGACCCCGCGGATCTGCGTGAGGGGTGTCGATTTCGAGCCCCCCCAGCAATTCAGACAACGCGCCCAGGTGGTGCTAAAAATCTGGTTTGGGCCTCCCCCCCCCTCGCGCGGTCAATCAACTAGTTACAGTAACCAGCAAGAAGCAGAACTGTAACACTGGAAACTACAAACTACAACTGGTACAGGAAACTGCGAATAACGCGCCTCGCAGCCTGGTGGCCCCACAAGGGTGCCGGCGGATATATATATATTATATTAGATAATTTAATATATATATAGATATATATAATAAATATTTAAGATATAATTTATATTATATATCGAATGGACATATACTTCGACTATACATATAACATATACAATAACATATACATTTACAGTACATATACATCTACATTACATACTACTAGTAATCGTACATCTACTTCTACATATACCTCTACAATAACATAATAACATAGAACATAATACTTTCGATATTGTACTGTAAAATGTATATATATATAGATATGTGTGTAAATATAATTGTGTATTTATGTGTATTTTAATTATTGTATATATATAATGATTATATATAAGATATATTTAGAAATATTATAGACACATGTATAGTATAGAAACTTAACGGAAATACATGTAGGATGGGTAGTACACAGGAGTTGTATGGGGGGAAGGACAATCTATAGAAACATACGTACGTCGTCCAAGGCGCCTCGGAAGGCGCAGAATACTCCTCCAAAGCGCGGAATCATGTTCCCGGACCGCCTTCCGGGAACATGAGGGGGACGACCTCCTGAGGGCATCCGGCCTCTTGGGGGCCTCTTGGAGGCCTGTTGGGCTCTCTGGAGGCGTCTTGGGGCGCGCTCAGGGCCATTTTTGGGCATCTTGGGGGCCTCTGGGGGCCTCCGGGGAGGCTCTTGGGGGCCTCTTTGGGGCCTCTTGGGGCCTCGCGGGGCCCTCCTGGGGACCGCTGGGCTCGCTTAGGCAGTCTTGAAGCCCTGTCGGGGCTCTCCTGGGACCGTCTTGGGCGGCTCCTGGGCCATCTTGGGGCTCTCTTGGGCCGTCTTGGGACGATTTTGGGGGTCTCTTGGGCCGTCTTGGGGCGGTCTTGGGGGCCTCTTCGGCCGTCTTGGAGCGGTTTTGGGAGACTCTTGGACGGTCTTGGAGCATCGGAACCCCGAAAAAACGAGAAGGCCAAAAACCTCGAAAAAAACAATAAGAATCAACGATTTTGGTTTGTCGGGGCTCTCTTGGGAGGCCTCTTGGGATGCCTTCGGAGTCTCATGGAGCTCTCTTGGAACGTCTTCGGGCCTTCCTGGCCATTCCTGAGGCCATCTATGCGCGTCTTGGAGCGCTCGCGGGCCGTCTTGGGCGGTCTCGAACTGTTCCTGGCGGTCCTGGGGCGCCCTGCACCCCTCATGGAGATTACTGGCAGCGCCCTGGGCCGCCCCCGGGCCCTACTCCGATATATATATATATATATATATATATATATATATACACACACACACACACACACACACACACATATCCACTGTTCCCTGGCCAGGCCCATCCTGAACCTGGCAGCGGTGTATTCTCCACGCCCTCCTGGCCAAACCAGGAGGGCGTATACACAGCTCCTGGGTTCAGGACGGGCCAGGCCAGGGAGCAGTGGGTATGTACAGATGTCGTCGCCCGAGGCGAAACGAGCCAGGCGAATCGAGCCTGGGCGAGTCGAGCCGGGCGAATCGAGCTGGGCGAATCGAAGCTCGGGCGAATCGAAGCTCGGGCGAATCGAGCCGGCGAATCGAAGCTCGGGCGAATCGAGCCTACGCCAACCGAGAGATGCAACAGCAGGCGAGCGAGGAAGAGCCCATCCTCCCGGGTCGTGCTTTGACGGCCCCCGGACCCGGAAGCTGGACGCCGCCTCCCGAATGGAGCCAGAGCAGAGAGAAGGGTCAGAGGATCGCGCCGCATCGCCGATGTGTCGCCACTGCACCAGCGACGTCGGCAAGGAGGAGGTCGGCATACAGATCGCGCCGCATCGCAGATGCAGAGGCGACGCGGCGCGATCCTCCGACTCTCTCTGCTCGGGCCCCGCCTTGGGAGGCCTAGAGGAGGAGCCCCCAGAGGCCAAAACAAACGCCTCAGGACCCGCTCCCAGACATCCGACGATGGGATCGTTTCTACGGGCGGCCCCCAGAGGCTCCCGACCCCTTCCCGGGGGGGGCAACTCTTCGTCCCGGATCCAATTTTGATGACCCTGGGGCCCGACAACGGGCCTCAGGGGCCGAAATCGAGGACGAAGGGATGACAGACAGACAGACAGACAGACGCCATGCACAACATAGGTGCGTTGGCAGAAGTTGTGAGACATACTAGACAATTGGGTGAAACGGCAAGCGTGCTAAGCAGAGGAGGAGGAGGAGGAGGAGGAGGAGGAGGAGAAGGAGGAGGAGGAGGAGGAGGGAGGGGGCTGAACAGCTATAGTGGCTGAACAGCTACAGTGGACGAAGGGATGGATTGACAGAAACCCGATCGGCGGAGATCTGCGCCTGCCTCGGCACCCCTCCCCTCCACGGCGGAAGCCCGAGGGGCTTCCCCGAGCCGGCGGAGGGCCTCGGGAGACGGCGGCGCCCGCGGCGCCCGCGCCCCGCCGCAGGCTCCGGGGCTGGCCTGGCCTCCGCTCCCCGCGGACCTCGGCGAGAGCCAGGGGAGGGGGCGGCTCAGGGCCCCTGGCGAGGAGGACGACGAGGAGGAGGAGCAGGACGAGGACGACGAGGAGGAGGAGCAGGACGATAGCGAAGGACCTCGGCGAGAGCCAGGGGAGGGGGCGGCTCAGGGCCCCTGGCGAGGAGGACGACGAGGAGGAGGAGCAGTTGGCGGCGCGCAGAAGGGGGTAGGGGGAGGGGGGAAGGCTTCTTAGAAGTACCACTGCTTCTTAGAAGGCGCCGGCCTTACATCTACAAAGAAGGCCCGCGCCTTCTAAGGAGAAGGGGTGCTTCTAAGAAGCCTTCCCCCCTCCCCCTACCCCTTCTGCGCGTGGCCAGAGCAGGACGAGGACGATGAGGAGGAGGAGCAGGACGATGGTGAAGGAACGTGGCTGTAACAGCCAGGGGAGGGGGCGGCTGAAGGGGCCATGGGCCTACCTCGGAGGCGCCCCCGCCAGGCCGATGCAGACCCGGGCTGGCCGGACCCCCTGCGGGATCCCGCAGGAGCCTGCAGGAGGTCTGCGGGATCCTGCGCGCGAGCGGGCGCTCCCAGGCGCCCCCAAGCACTCCCAAGCGCTCCCAGGCGCTCCCCGGCGCTCCCAGGCGCTCCCAGGCGCTCGCGCTCCCAGGCGCTCCCAGGCGCTCCCAGGCGCTCCCAGGCGCTCCCAGGCGCTCCCAGGCGCTCCCAGGCGCTCCCCGGTGCTCTCAAGCGCTCCCAAACGCTCCCAGGCGCTCCCAGGCGCTCCCAAGCGCTCCCAGGCGCTCCCATGCGCTCACCGGCGCTCCCAGGCGCTCCCAGGCGCTCCCAGGCGCTCCCGGGCGCTCCCAGTGCACCCCTGGCTGGCGCGCAGGATCCTGCCAGGTCCGGCGCGCTCGCCGACCCCCGTTCGCTTCGACGCCCGTCTCAGGGCGCCTGGCCCCCCTTGGGCCAGACGTGAGAGCGACCCTGGGTAAGAGTGACCTTTGGTGCGCAGCTTTGGGGGGCGCGAGGGAGCCAAACCCAAGGGCGTGGGCCGCTTCTATCGCATCGTGCTCGGCGATCGGGGGGAGCCCGATCGAGCCCGCACCAAGGGCCACTCCGGCGAAGGGTCACTCTTGCGTGCAGTCGACCCCTTCGGGCGAGGAGTGCCGCGACCACCGGGCCAATCGGGGTCCCAAAAACTGGCCATCGCTCGGACGTCCATTCCCTGTGCTTTTCTCGGTTTCGTCTGCGTGGTTTTTTCGCCAAACGATCAAAAGGATGCTCCTCGATGGTCCCCGCCGAGGGAGAAATGCACACGTCCGAGCGATGCCAAGTTATGTTTTGGGAGGGGATGCGGGGGTTCGGCGGGGCCCGCTGGCTCGATCCCCCTGGCCGCCTCGATCAGCACCCTCCTCTTCGACCCCCTCCTCCTCCTCTTTCCCCTCCTCTTCGTCCTCCTCCTCAGCATGATCACCTCTTTTTCTCGTTCTGCTTCACCTCCTCCTCCTCCTCCTCCTCCTCCTCCTCCTCCTCCTCCTCCTCCTCCTCTTTCCCCTCCTCTTCGTTATCCTCTTCGATCCCCTCCTCCTCTTTCCCCTCCTCTTCGTCCTCCTCATCAGCATTGTCATCTATGCGCACGTCCGAGCGCTGCCAAGCGAAAAGGACCGCGAGGGCGCGCGAGCGCCTCCGACCCAGAGCTGCGGCGGCCGCAGCTCTCGCCGCACCGCGGCACCGTCCAGGCGCGGCGGGGAGGGGCGCCGAGCCGACGGGGGGTCGGGACCTCCACTCCTCGTGGAGAGAATCACGACCAGGGTCGAGTCGGGCGTGTCCCCCGACAGGCGGATTTTCGACGTCCATTCCCTGTGTTTTTCGGTTTCGTGCGTGGTTTTTTCGCCAAACGATCAGGGATGCTCCTCGAGGGTCCTCGCCGAAGGAAAAATGCGCACGTCCGAGCGGCGCCCAGCGAAAAGGACCGCGAGGGCGCGCGCGAGCGCCTCCGACTGGAGCTGCGGCGGCAGCAGCCCTCGCCGCACCGTTGGCGCCGTCCGGGCGCGGCGGGGAGGGGCGCCGAGCCGACGAGCGGTCGGGACCTCCACTCCTCGTGGAGAGCATCACGACCAGGGTTCCAGGCCTGGCGGCCAGACGGCCTGTGATGCCGTGGGCCAAATGATCCCAAGAGGGCCTTGCACCTGTACGCGATCACTGTTCATTTGCCCGCCATCACGGAGCACAGGCTCGTTTGATCTGCTGGGGCTTCGATGTTGGGCTCCATCGCGCGAGAAAAGAAATCCCCCCTCGCCAAGAACCCTTCTTTTCGTTTGTCGTCGTCCCCCTGGTCCTGGCCCTCGACCCAGCCTTCACCCTGGCCCTCGACCCAAGACCCCTCGTCGTTGCCACCCTGGTCCTGTCCTGGGACCCAGCGTCCTCCCCTGGCCCTGGCCCCAGCCCCCCTCTCCCCGGACCCTTCATTTTCGCTCGTCGTCGTACCTCCACTCCTCGTGGAGAGACCTCCACTCCTCGTGGAGAGCATCACGACCAGGGTCGAGTCCGGCGTCCCCCGACAGGCGGATTTTCGACGAAAAATAGAAGGTGCTCAAAAGATATTCAAAGGATGCCCAAAAATACTTTGAAAAAATAGTCCCCTGACCGTTTTTTGACTATGTTTGAATATTCCCCCTGTAGAGGGCCGCCCGACTTAATCCTCGTGGAGAAGAGAATCACGACCAGGGTTAAGTCGGGCGTGTCCCCCGACAGGCGGATTTTCGACGAAAACTAAAAAATACTCAAAAAATATTCCAAAGATGCCCCCCAAAAAAAGTCCCCAGACTATGTTTGACTATGTTTGAATATTCCCCCTGTAGAGGGCCAGGCCCTACTTAATCCTTGTGGAGAGAATCACGACCAGGGGTCTTTGCCAATTTTCGGCCTCTGGGGGCCCTGGACGGGCCCGCGGAGGCCTGCAAACAACGGCCCGGGACGAGAAGCCAGTCCCGTGGAGAAAGGTCCAGAACTCTTGGGGTCCACTCTGTGACAAAAAATCGAAGGGTCGGAATCATAACGTCGGAGGTCTGGGAGCCGGGAAGGGGGGAGGGGAGAGAGCGAGGGAGAGAAATTAGCCTGGCGAAGGACACAACCATATGCAGTTGTGAATACTGTCGTTGTGAGCATCGCCTTCGGAGGATGTCCTTATGGGACCACGAAGCACGTGAAGAGTGTACCGAAATGTGGCGGGGCCGCCATGCGGGCGCTGCGCATCGCGAGGAAAACCAAATGAAGGAGGGGAACCAGCAACAGGGGCCACTGGGGCCTTCGGTGGAGCCCCCGATGAGGCCACGAAACGTGTGAGAGGTTCGCTGACATGGAGGGTGGAACCGCATGCGGGCGCTGCCGCTGGGGCCTTCGGTGGAGCACCCTATGGGGCCACGAAACGTATAAGATGGACCAAAAAACAAACGGCACTACCCTACCTACGGCCCCACGGGGCTTAGCCTATACCAAAAGATCTGGCGTGGGCTTTTGCGCGGTATACGCCACAGCGCCCGATGGGCCGTAGTGCAACATGGAGGGTCGTAAGTGGGGTGGTGCTTTTTTGTTTGTTGGACGATGAGAGGTTCGCCGAAATGGGGGGTGGAACTGCATGCGGGCGCTGCCACTGGGCCTTCGGTGGAGCTCCCTGGGTCACGAAACGCGTGAAGTGTTCGCCGGAATGGAAAGTGGAACCGCGTGAGAGCGCTGCCACTGGGGCCCTCGTTGGAGCTCCCTACGGGGCCATGAAACGTGTGAGAGGTGCACCGGCATGGGGGTGGAACCGCATGGGGCGCTGCCACTGTAGCCTTCGGTTGAAATCCCTAACTATGGGGCCACGAAACGTGTGAGGGGTGCACCGAAATGAGGGTGGAACCGCATGCGGACGCTGCCACTAGGGCCATCGGTGGAGCTCACTATGGGGCCACGAAGCGTGTGAGGGGTTCGCCGAAATGGAAAGTGGAACCGCGTGCGGGCTCTGCCCTGAGCCTTCGGTGGAGCTTACTATGGGGCCATGAAAGAAGTAAGAGGAGTGCACCTGATTGGCGGGAACCGCATGCGGGCCCTGCCACTGGGGCATTCGGTGGAGTTCCCCATGGGGCCACGAAAGGGGAACGAGAGGCCCCAAAACGTGACACAACACAGACAGACAGACTGACAGACAGACAGACAGACAGACATGCAGACAGACGGACAGACCAACAGGAAAGACAGACAGACAGACAGACAGACCCTCGGGGTCCCACGCTGCAGGTCCGCCGACTGGCCACGCCTCACGGTCGAACCCCAGCCGAGACAGACAGACAGACAGACAGACAGACAGACAGACAGACAGACCGACAGACTGACAGACAGACAGACAGACAGACAGACCAACAGGAAAGACAGACAGACAGACAGACAGACAGACAGACAGACAGACAGACAGACAGACAGACAGACAGGACAGGACAGGACAGGACAGGACAGGACAGGACAGACAGACAGAGGCAGACAGAGACAAACAGAGACAGGCATAGACAGACAGACAGACAGACAGACAGACAGACAGACAGACAGAAAGACAGGCAAACAGACAGACTGACAGACACACACACAGACAGACAGGGACAGACAGAGACAGACAGAGACAGACAGAGCCAGACAGACAAACAGGCATGCAGGCAGGCAGACGGACTCTCGGCCACGCTGCCAGTCCGCCGACTGGCCACGCCTCACGGGCGCGCCCCAGCCGTGCCTGGGGAAGAGACAGGCAGACAGACACACTGACTTTTGCAGGCATTGCGCCAGCAAACCAGCCCGCGCTCGGCGAGCAAGCAGTGGCAAGTCGAAGGCTGTGACGACTCCAGGAGTGTGCCAGGAGGTAACAAGAGCGAGAGAGAGAGAGAGAGAGGAGAGGGAGAGGGAGAGGGAGGTAAGGAAACAAACAACACAGAAAACAGGGATAGGGCCATCTTCCAGCCATCGGGCATCGGGGTCTCGCCGATCGCACCGCCGATCGCGGCCACGGCGCCCGCCTCGCGCCGGTCCTGGCAGCCGCAGGCAGGCCGCGCGATCAACGATCGGGGCGTGCGCAGTCGCGAGATCGGCGGGCGCCGAGGCCCAGGCGCCTGCGACAGGCTGGAGATGCTCGGCTTGCGCCGCGCCCTGGGTTCCAGGGGGTGGCAGGAGTCGAGGGCCCGGGGAATTTACACCACCACCGCCTCCATTCGCCCTCCCTCCTCTACCCTCGTCTTCCCCTCCCCGTTTCTGGGAGAGACGGATGGGGCGAGGGACGTGATGGTGGTGGTGTGTACTTTTTGGGCCACGTAGGAGTCCCCATCCGCGCAGAGGGCACCTGCACGGCACCGCACCTGGTCGGGGCATCCTGGGCCCTGCCACGGTGCACGTGGCCTCCTGGCCGAGGCCATGAGTTTTCTCGCGCTATCGTGGGCTACAGTCGGGGCGTTGACCTAAGGAACCCTAAATAAGGAACGAGGCCCCTTTTTTCCATAAGTTAAACTTCGATTCCCTATCGAAGACACAAGGAAAACCTGAGGCAAGCTGTGAAACACTTAAGGAACGCGGAGCCCCTCCCCAACGAAAAGGGTTCCTTCTTCAGGGCCCCGACTGTAGAACGGTCCTGGCCAGGCATGGCGTTGGTCTTGTGGCGCCTTCTGCGGATCTGCACGGGATGCCCTTTTCCTCGGCGAGCCCGGAGTGTCTGGGGTCCGGGATCCAGGTCGGCGGGCGCTCCCTGGGGCCATGATCAGACCAGCAGAGCTTGCCTGACACGCTCCCCTGGCGGTGCAGAGAGGGGGGGATGTTGAAAGCGAGCCTGTGTGGAAGACACCCTCAGTTCCTGTGGATAGAAATGGGGAAATGCCCAAAAGGAACAGACGATACGCGTTGACATGAAACGAGTGGCGTACGCGAGGGTCTCCGCACTAGAGCCCAGCTTGCTACGCGGTTCGCATGGTCAATCGTGCAGCATGCTGCGCTTTCTGCGTATTCCTCAAGCTGCGGCTTTCATGGGCACACCCATTTATGAGCTCGAGCCAGGGTCAGCAGACTCGCCGTCCCAGTGGGCCACAGGCGGGTTTCATCCCTCACCCATGGAACAAGAATAAAGGGAGTAGTTGTTGTGTCTAGTCAGCGGCCCTGGGGGGGTCTCTGGGCCTCCCTGGAGCCTAGATCGGGCCGAAGGCCCTCCAAGAGCGGGCGGAACCCCCGCAAGAGCGCTGGTCAAAGAGTGGCAAGCCCCACGCTGGCCCCGAATAGGCCCGAAGGTGCTACAAGATGGCACCAGGGTGGCCCAAAGATGGCCCAAGATGGTCCGAGATGGCCAAAAAGACTGCAAAGACGGTGCAAGAAGGCAGAATAACCTCTCCTATAACGCTCCCAGGGGGCACACACAGATATATATATATATATATATATATATATATATATATATACATATATATATATGTGTATACTTATATGTATTGTATAGATATATGTGTCTATACAGGTATACATATATGCATACATGCAAACATACATACGTACATGCAAGTATGCATATATATGCATACGCATGTACGTACGCATATGCATATAACAATACCTCAACATACACATACAAGCATGCGTATGGTAATACGTATACATATATATACATATATATATATATATACATATACACATATACATATACACAGATACAAAGACATAACATATACATATACATATGCAAATACACATGCAACTACACATACATCTATATATACATGTATATATATGTATACCTAAACATAAACATATACATACACATGTACATGTGTATACCACAGATACACTCACATGTATAAGAATGTGTATGTATATACATGTACAAATAATTACACGAACACATAAACGTACACATAAACATACACGCAAACGAACACCGAACGTACACGAATACATAATAAAGTATGTACACATGTATATATACGTAGACATGAACATGCCAGTTCACATATACATACACATACACGTATATGTACATATACATACGCATATCCACATGCATATACATGTGTATATGCATTTACAAATACATATACATATATGTATACATATACATATACACATACATATACATAAGCATAAACATATACAAATACGTCTACCTACATAAAACTATAAGAAAGGTGCTGTAACTTTTCTGATTCAATAAGTGCGGCAGTCCTGCCTGCGTTTGTTTCAACGGGCTTCTCGGCCCCCGAAGCGGCCCAAAAGGGATCCAAAACTGCCCTGGTAGGGCAACGAGTGTCCTTAGAGGGCCTCGCGATGGCCCTGCAAGATCCTCAAAGACAAGGCCCGACGAGCGGCCCAACCGCAGCGGGCCAGCAGGACAGGCCCTAATGTGGCCCCAAGCTTGCCCCGCAAGGCTGCATGACGAGTCCAACGTGGTTCAAAGTGGTCCAACACAGCTGCACGAACCCTCCAAGATGCCCGTAGAAGCCTTACCGGGAGGCCCCTGAGCTGATAGCCCCTTACGAGCCCCCCGAAACCCCAAATGTCAAAGAAAACTGCCAGAAACACATTGAAAAACTGGATGGGCTTGTTTGATATACTGTTCCTGCCTTTGCGGGCTCAGGTGGGCTTCTCGGGCTGCGACGTGACTCGAAGAGAGCCCTAATCTAGTACGAATCAGTATATAATTCATATTTTGAAACAGCTTGACTGCGGAACGGAAACGCAATTAGCATGCGCACGATGAACCTCCCATGGTCAACCGATGCACTCGCAACGAATGCCATACACTACCAGTTTTGACATTGACTAGGCGGCTGCACAAATATTGGCACGCCCCCGCAGCTCAAGGCGCACAAAGCCTGCAATCCACAGGCCCAAGAAATCTGTCACAAACTCGCCGTCTTACTCCGCCGAAACTATCGGGCCCACGCATATTGTGCAAGTCCTGCCCATGTCGACCACCCGTGAATCTGCATTCGCCTGACCGCACCAGCGCTTCGGACACTTCCTACAGGACGGGCAGACACACACCTGTCACGGCGCGATATCATAGGGGCCCGTTGCCCCCGTCTGCGTGCTTCGCAGCTGCAGGGGCCCTCGCGCCGGCAAGCCTAGCGACGCGCCGCGGGTCGCGGGGGTCGCTGCAGGCTGGAGACTGCGGCACAAGTAGCAAGCCTAAGCCAACACCGCGACCACGCACAGCACCAGCGCCAGAATCGCGACAAGAAAACCACCAAAACCGCCTTCTCCGTCGCGGCAGCCGCCCCCCTTGCTGCCCGAGGGGGCGCGGCCGAACGAGCCACCTTGCCCGCGCCCGCCCGGGCGCGCACTACCGCCCAGGAACGCAACGGAAACTCGCCGGGGGTAACCCAAGTTTCTCCTTTCACTTCTTGACTTCAAGCGAAAAGAACCTCCATCATCATACATGTTGGAATGCCACATTGAAGCGTCTTCTCGGGAATGATGGCGCCGCGCGCGCGTTCGCCCTGCCACCGCGCGCGCCCGTTGCCAACATGCCCCGCGCGGCCGCAGCCCCGCCAGCGAACGAGAGCCTCCGCCACCGACGCGCCCGCGCTGCAGCGGGCGGGCAGCCCGCCCGCGCCCGCGAATTCCACCAAGCGCAGGACGCCGAACACCACCATCACGATCTCGCTGCCGCTCGCGATCTCAGTTTCACCCGAGGAGGAGACGCGCCGATCTCCGCCTCGACCGCGCGCGTAGACCCTTCAACCAGCCATCGCGAGCGCGCCTCCCATGGCGCTCTTCCTATCCAGCTCGCCGCATTCCCAGCCGCCGCAAGAATGGGCGCGCACCCTCGTCGGCGGCTCGTCTGCCGGGCAGAACGCTACGCGCGCCCTGGCGACCCCCTGGCAGCGCGCGAGCTCGACCAAGTCCCTCTCGGACTTGCCGCCCGGGGTCTCCAATCGCCGGAGCGGCCACCTTGCCGCGGAAAATCAGCCCGCGCCCCGTTCTGCCCCGCGCAGATTCGCGCCCGCCGCCCCCCGCCCCTGATCGCCGCCTCGCAGATCGGACATGCCCAGTCTCAGCGAGGTGGATGGGCCGCGCCACGCCGTTCCGATATCCGACAAGCTCGCGCCGATGCACTTGCGCAGCGCTCGGATTGCTCCTGGCTTCTTTTTTCACGCCTGGCCACAGCTCCTCGTTGAATCCCAATCTGGCTTGCCGCCCACGTAGCTCCCCAGCGGCGCCGGCCCTTCGCTGGAACCCCTCGCCACGCCGTCGCCCACGCGAAGGCCGATCGCAGCGTCGGGCCCCTCGCCGCGCAAGATGATTGGGGACGGGCAACACGTTAGCTTCCAGCATCTTTGGCAAGTGGCCCCGCCGGCTGCGAGCCCCACCCACCCACCCCCCACCCCCCAGGCGCTGCCCCATTGCCCCCTGTCGCGCTCGCCCCTGAACTCAGGCGGCAGCCAAGTCAGGGCAAGCCGCCACCCCTGGCGCCCGAGCGAAAGCTGGCGCTGCATCGCGAGCCATGCGCGGATGACCCCTCAGCAGGAACGAAATGGAAATAATGGTGGCCTGGCTCGCTGCCGCGAAAACCGCGGGGCCCTTCGCCACACCCAAATCCGCGGCACCGGAGCGCGGCTTCCCATAGGGAGGCGGGCCCACCCGGGCACTGGCGAGGACGCGCGCGCCCGCGGCGCGACGCCCCCCGCGGCCCGCTCCTTCGCGCAGCCGTTGTTTTTGAACACCCTGATCCCCGCCGATGCGCAACCCCGGCGCTGGCCTTCGATCGCCGCGGGCAAGGCGCCCCCTGCGCGACGCCTTCGTCGCCGACCTCCTCGAAGTCGGCCCCATCGAACTCGCCCTGCCCGACGAGGTCGGAGTCGCCCCCTCGCCCCATCGCTCTCGGCTGGCACCTGAAAAACTCGGGCGCCCGCAGCCACGGCGTCTTTGAGCGAGGACCCCCGGCCCCGCCACCCAAATCCATCGATGCTGCCGGGGCAGTTTCAGCCGCCCCATTCGCCGCCGCCTCTACATGAGCTTATCCTGCCAAGCGCAGCATGCCAAGCTCGCGGGCGTCGACCAGCCCCGCCACCCACGCCTGCCGCCCGACTTCGAGCCTCGATGGGCAGGACGCGCAAGAGGTGTGCCCGACCCAGGCCAGCCCCCGCAGCTTTGCCCCTCAGCCTGCCGAGAAG